TAGTACATAAATCATTGATAAATAAATATTAAATTACTTTACCTGTGGTGTATAGTCGTCCTTTTGCCTTAAAAAATGTTATTTTTTTGAGCGATTTTGAACAAGTCTGAGTTCGTCCTCGTTCCCAGGGCCTCCCTTTAGGAGTGGAGCTGGGAGTGGGGCGGGAAAAGGTTTTCCTGCCCCAATCCCTGGCTAAGGGAAAAGGCCCTGGGAAGGAGGTTGCGTGCCCAGGGATAAACGTTCCCATTTCCTTATGTAGAGAATTCAACAGGCAGACTACAATAAGTTATTTCCTAAACTATATTGTGTACTTAAAGCCCTTTTGTACTGAGTGCTGTTAAACTAAAACAAACGTAATCACAACAGCCAATCAGAATAGAGATCAACATTACGAGCAGCTGATGACAAATCAAAATGATTAATGAAATGAACGAGGCTCTCATTGACGGAAGTTTATTCATCTAATTCGTTAACAAATACTGTGCGAGTTCTCTAAACCAATCAAAGAATGAGGTAATGTAAAACCATTTTTTTTTAAACTCTCATTAATTTGAAGCTTGTTTCATAATTTTTACAACGAAAAAAATATTTCCGAGAGCCCCTCGGTTCGAGCCTGTCGCTGACTTTTAGCTAAAGGTTCGTTCGCACGTGTTCCACATTTTTCACGATATTATCATTACATGCTATGAAAACAAATATTCCAATTCCTCGGGCGATTTATCCTTCGTCTCAGGAAGATAAGCATAGAAAAACAGCCACCCTAGAAGTGAAATTCCTCCGTACAGCCAGAACACACCAAAACTGGTAATCCATTCAGTTAGAGAGAGAAAAGTCATCGAAAGCAACCCATTACAAGTCCATTTTACTGCTGAAGCAAACCCATATGCTGTGCTACGGGCCCACAGAGGGTATATCTCAGAGTTTATCGTCCACGGCAGTGGCCCCATCCCTGGAGCGATCGCAGCGATATATAAAACAAGGGCTACGGTTGCTAACCAGGCATACTGAAATGGACACGCTTGGTACGACCATGTGACTGTATGATCATTGCGACCGCATCTTCCAAACGCGGCCATGTTGACATTAGAAGATACATTAATTGGAACACACGAGCCACTCATAGGATTATTAGCTGAGTCTTTAGCGTAACAAAATCCACATTTTTCTCCGACTCCAAGGCAATCCAAGCAATATCCGGTGTCAGGACAACTGTTGCTGATATTAGAAGGCACTCTCTCGATAAAAGTTATGGCAGCATCGTGTTGCTTCGCCAAGTAAAATGCACCACCCAGTAGAGACAAACAAAGAATGACCCCAGCAAGACTTCCTAATAGTAGCTTACGGCGTCCTAGTTTTTCTACCAGATACAATCCAACGAAAGTGAAAGCGAAACCAGTAAAATAGACCACCACAGCCAGCCAGAGGGCGAGTTGGTCTTCCTGCACGCCCGACATCTGTATGATAGTTGTACTGTAAAACCTGGAAGCAAAAAGCACACCCTTATTGAGGATTTATTTTATTCTTGTCTTGATGTTCAAGACGGGAGCGAGGTAAAGGACGTACAGCTCATCGGGCCGCCGCTTAAGGCTACCGTGCACCTTCAGGGGTGTCTCGCGTGCAAGCGATGTAGCACGTCCGCTTTTAACTGTAGATATCTTAGCCCCTATATCAAATTGAAACTTATAGGACTGGCTAGCAGACTATACCAAAAATTTTGAAAAAAAAAATTAATTGTCGAATTTTTCACGACTTCTAAATGCGAGCGCCCGAATCACATTTTGAACGTTACATGTCAAAGCGAATTTTTTTTTTCGCTTATTTAATGTGTTCCTCCGTTTCCGGGGCCAAAGCGCGTTAAAATACGTGTCTGTGATTTGCCATATTCAATTTCAGTGAAAAGTTACAGAACATTTTTCAAATAGGATTCAAAGAATGCGGAGTGATCATACAAAAATCGTTCCTGAAAAAAAGTAGTTAGAAATAAAAAATTCGGAGACATGTTTTTGTTTACGTTGTTTATATGTAAAACTAGCTACTCTCAAAATTTGAGAGCAATCGAACAAATTCCCTTTGACTTGTAGCTCTTAAAAGATGATTCGGGCGCTCGCATTTAGAAGTCGGGAAAAATTTGACAATTGTTTTTTTTTCAAACTTTTTGTTATAGTCTGATAGCCAGTCCTATAAGCTTTAATTTGATAGAGGGGTTAAGATATCTACAGTTTAAACCAGACACGCCACATCGCTTGCACGCGAGACATCCCTGAAGGTGTACGGTAGCCTTAACTCCGGTTTCCGTAGTATGAACCGACTAGGAGTACTTCTACCCCCCCCCCCCTGGATGGGATGCTAGTCCATCGCAGTGTTACCCCCAGCATTAAATTCGCCGGTACCTATTTAATTCTCCTGGGTGAAGAGAGGCACTGTGAGAGTAAAGTGTCTTGCCAAAGGACGCAACACAATGTCTCCGGCCAGGGCTCGAACCCAGACCACTCGATCTGGAGTCGAGCGCACTAACCATGAGGCCACCGCGCCTCTAAAAGGGGAGGGGAAAGGGGTTATTTTAGATGCGCTGCATTCTTTATGATTGACAAGATACCTCATAATTTACGCGGTTGATTTATGCAAAAGCCCCCTTAAATCAGCCCATAGTCAAAACTATGCCGGTACCGCTATTCTGCCGGGCTTGGTTAGTGATCTTCCGATCGATGATCTAAGCCTTTAACTTTCAAGGTTAATAAAACATTTTTACTTACATAACAACATTAATCCCAGACAGCTCTTGCATTGATATCAACATGCAACCAACCAAAAGAGCTTTCCTTGTACTCGAAGTGGTCAATATCTTATGAAATCTGCCTGAAAACAAATGGCAACCTTTCATTACACAACCACACTAGGGTTCCACTCATAAACCGTTACGATGCAACCACCTAGTAGAGCATAAATACCTATTAATAGCCGAGTTTGAGATCCTTACTGTAAGTTACAGACTTTTTCCGCTTGGATTTAACTTGGAAACGAGGTTAAATTCATTATGATCTCTCTCAATTAATACATGCGCTGTGATTGGTCAATTTTGTGGACCGCATCAACCTTATCCCCAGGGCCTCTTCCCTTAGTTGAAGGTGGGGTGGAAAAGGGAAAAGGCCCTGGGAACGAGGTTGGGGTCGTATTCCATGGCCTGCCAACTTAAGTCAGGGAGTAGGAACCGAAAACTGGGAGTTTCGTTCAACCATCACAACAGAAAATATTTGACACCTGATTCTTGTAGAGAAAGACCTCATGATCAAAGCCAGGTAGTTTGGAAAGTTGAATTGTGGTATACGTTTCGAGTTAAGGGGATGTTTTCTTGTCCAGCTCACGGATCAGCATGGAAACGAGGCTACACACTCGAACGTAGTTTACATCGCTATTTCTTCGTAAAAATCAACGATTTCAACCACTTAATCTAAACTTCGTTAAATATACATCTGCTTTATTTGTAAGTGGTAAAGTATGTCACGCGATTAGTCACGTGATTTTAAACGTGACAAGTAACAAATGTGCGAGTATTAGCAAAAAAACCAGCGTTCGCCGTTGTTTTGAAGAACAACCTCGCAAAAACCAAATATGTATCCCTTCTTTAAATAACTTTCTTTTGCTCTTGCTATCGTCCTAGCAAAACCTTTGGGAATTAAAACGGTTCACTGTATATCATTTTTATCAGTTTAGATCTAGCACGCAAACGTGGCTAGTCCCTTGGAGGCAAACAAACAAAAAATCATGACTCACATGTAAATGAAAAAGAAAGAAAATGTTGCCGTTACTCGTTTCTGATTTATGACATTGCAATGTTCGAATATATGACTACAATACTAATAATAACAACGAGAGTTATTTTTCTCACTGAGAACTAGAGTTCTAGGAATCAGAGTCAGAAACAAAGTCTAAGAGGACTCCATGTGGATTTCTACACATGTCACTGCTGGCCATGCAATAACATGCCTCTGAACATGATAACCCTGTGTTGTCACACGAGCAGTTGCTCTGACACCCGCTCTGACATGTGCAAGTCGTCAGTTCCAACAGGCTACTCGGCGCTGGTTCTTTTGTCATGTAAACCAACTTTAGCGAGGAGTCTCCTCTCACCCATCATTCCTTTCGGGCTGCGGGAGATGCTGGATTGCAGTCAGAGCCTTTCTCCAAACAAACGTCTGATAGTTAACTCTTTTCAACTGTTGAAGTAGGCTGTCAGATGTGATCTGGGCAAGAAAACATCCCCTTAACTCGAAACGTATACCACAATTCAACTTTACGAACTACCTGGCTTTCATCAGGAGGTCTTTCTCTACAAGAATCAGGTGTCAAATATTTTCTGTGGTGATGGTTGAACGAAACTCCCATTTTTCGGTTCTTGCTCCCTGACTACTTCAGGAGTTTGTTTGAATTGAAGTCTTCCCCATCCATTCGAAACATGTGATAAGCTAATTAACTTACTAACCTCGTTCGCTCGGCCCGCACTGCAAGCAACAGAACCCTGTTCTTCCCGCTCGGATTTATGGTCCGCGCGCGTTGCACTTGGGCCATAAATCCTAGCGATAAAAACTCGCTTCGTAAATTACAGTACGGACCTCGAACTCGGTAAAAAAGCTTAAAAAGTTCTAAAGGGGTATGTAATAGTTCATAGATGGCTGAAAATAACCATTTTGGTGTTTCTTTTACCGATCTTTCATTTTTGTTGCTAAGTAGCTTTAATTTTGTAGTGACAACAGAACAACAGCAAAAATACCTCACGTGACCAATCCCACTTCCCTTCGGGATTGCGTCGGGATTACATCGGGATTAAACGTAAACAGTACCACTCGAAAGAACTTTACGCTTCGTGTGAAGGAGTCAATAAATACCCCAGCCCTTCAATATTTCACAAACTTACTTTTCTTATCATAGGATTCTCGTTCTTTACAAACGGCCAGTATAGATTGCAACTCTTCGTTCACATCTGTGGTTCCTCTAAGTCTTACAAGAACTTCCCTTGCATCTTCACAGGCGCCCCTGCTGACAAGCCAACTGGGACTTTCTGGAAGCCACAGACAGCCCAAGAACATGATGGATGACGGGACTGCAGCTAAACCAAACATGAATCTACCGAAGAGAAATATTATCCAATACGACTTGCTGTGTTTTTTTTTTTCTTTGTTTCTTTTTTTAAACGTCTTAGAGATGGTCTGGAGGTATTACGTCAACTTTTTTTTCATCAGGAACTCATTAGTAATGGTGAGATTACTTTTTTGTCGTAAGAAGGGTGAAATCTGACTCAAAAGCTCGGGTACTGCCTGAGTTTATCCCGGGTAGGTATCGAAACAAGAATCGACCACATGCAGCTGGTACCCAAGCCTTGACAGGGTCATTGTGTTATGTTTTAGTCGCAGGATCCTTTACTCGCACAATGCCTCTCTAAGCTTGTACCCAGATCCTACCGTGCAACTATGACTGAAATGTTCGCTTGGCCGTGAAAACTCTGGGCACGATACTAGCGCCTTCGACCACTAGGCGTTTTACATAGGCATCGATGAGCCAGAGTGAGTAGTTTGAGCGATAGATTTGGAAACATACTGTGTTGTTGTTATTGTTGTTGGATTTTGTCTTTGACTTTTTTTTTTAATTTTTTTTTTATCTAAGGTATTGCATATTTTGTATGTCCGCTATGGGTGGATGGATGTAGGTAAAACATTAACTTGACGATTTTACTGTTACTTTCCATGGTTGAGAATTTGCTATTAAAGGAAAACTATTCTATATCTCTTTACCTCCATCCTGTCTTTTTGTAAGGGCTAAAAATGACGTCAATAATGGCAGCGACAAGTTCAGCTCCCACAAAAAATACACAGTAGACGGTGACTAGACGACCTCTTATACGCCATGGCGCAATTTCAGAAATAAATACCGGGGCCGTAATAGACACCCCTCCTGCAAACAATTACAGAAAATACATTTATTTTCACCCGTTATCAATGCAAGCCCAAATTACTTCAATTTTTCTTTCTCCTTGGTTTTTTGTAAGAGTTTTAGAAAAGAAATTATTTCAACTTATTCCAAAAAGGGACACTTGGTTACACAACCCTTCAATCCATAGAGAAGCGGTGACGCACATCTAATTTCTCCTTGGAGTATCTCTACTGAATCACATATTAGAGTCAAGAGAATGGTTGGATGGAGCACGATTTTTTACTAGGAGGTTTTAGTGTGAAAGGAACTTCCCCACTCACTCTATCCATTCTCTGACCTCTTAGACAATTAATTCATGTATTTAAATTTGGCTTCAGCGCGTTATCCCCTGCCTTCTCTACTAGGTTTTCTTCTCTCCTACTCACGCGCAAAATTGGGTCAAGGTCAGAATTCTATAGTTACACTCACTCACTCACTAATCTCCAAAACGTATGTGGCTGATCCTCCCATAGGAGGCTGTAGCTACAAAAATTAAGACATACTATGCCGTAGCTCTATGGGGCACTTGATTAAGGTATCATTTGCCATCGTTCTCTGGGCTCTTAAACTCTCTCTTAATCTTTTGATCGTGAGATCAATTTTCATATCTCTCTTAATCTTTATCTTAACCTCTCTTAATCTTTTGATCTTGAGACCAATTTTCATATCACGTAAAACCAATTTTTCTTTTTTAACTTACCTATTCCAAGACCGACAATAAGCCTACCAACGAGTAAACCATTTCTCGATGCAGCAATTGCCTCGACCACTGCTCCTATCGTAAACACTAATGCACAAGCTAAAAGCATTGGTTTTCTCCCAAGTCGTTGATTCAGAAATCCTCCGAGCGAGGCTCCTATGATGGCTGTACCTATTGCGACACTTACGATGAGCTCTTGCCAAAATGACGACAAATGAAACTCTTCCCTTATAAGGATCATTGCCCCAGAAACGATCGAGAAGTTGTATCCCACCAGAAAACCTCCAATGGAAGCGAAGACAGTGAAAAAATACAGGCGCACTGGAATTCTTTGTTTCGCTTCACTGGAACTTTCCATTAATGGTTCTTACTCGGATTTCTTATCACTTTTAGTAGTATTTGACTACATTTTTGTTCCATGACATTTCGCGTTTGCTCCACTTCTTGAACAAAAGCGCTATCGATTGTAATCACGTCTTCGACTGAAACGACTTTCCCTGTGAAGAAAGTTTCGTATCCTTTTTTCTCACGTATAACGTAGCCGCAGGCACGGCACGGAATATTTGAATATTTTATCGCCGAATCCCAACCGGTCCTAAACTTTGCCTTCGAAATGCAGCTTCGCAGCTCAAAGGTGACTTTTACCTTACCCTCGTCTAGCGCGTATGCTTGTGTTACAGACTAGTCTAAATTCGAGTTAGACGAAGGGTATGTTCCATTGCCATATCTTTGTTCCGTGTAGTAATTTGTGTTCTACAACAAAAGAGATGGTGATGAAAATGCGCGGGTACTCGAGCATGGAGTTTGCAAAACAATTATGAAAAATGTCGTATGGATGCAAATTGTTGAACAGAAGAGCGGGTTAATTTGGAACCTGTTATACTTGACCACTTGCTGGAAGAGGACAGCTGACATTTTAAAACAACACACTCTTGCTCTCCGCTATGACAAACTTCGATGAACTGTTTAAGTCAAGGTATCTTATAAAGAACCTTGCTCGGTTCGCAATCATAATATTTTAAAATATTTCTCGTGTTAGTTTGGCCCTGTTTGCAAGCCGACTTAGCAAAATGTCAAGAGAGTGTTACCATTTGAGAATTTGAGTGTCAGATCATGGAGTAAGCGAACTGAACTTGAAATATGTTTAAGTGATTCAAATCCTACTGCGAAGGATCGTGCATCATACGTAGTTAATACCGCGGTTCAAAATATATGAACTTCAGATATCCATTGTATCTGATTTATCATCACGGGTTTATTACGAATCAACTTAACGGCCTGCTCCCAGTTGGCTTGTTAGCTCAATTGGTAGAGCGCTGCACTAGTATCGCAGAGGTCAGTGGTTCGAATCCCGTAAAGGCCTGATTTTTTTCAGGTCTGATTTTCGCTATTGCATAAATAGCGCTATCTACTGCGAAGAATCGTGCATCATACGTAAAATCATAAAATGAAAATTCTAGGCTCGATTACTTGCTGTTGTTTGGGAACCGAAGCCCGCTCTCCACCCCGAAGTCTCTTCTCGGGGAGGAACGTAAAAGACCAGATCGGAGATAGCGGCGGAAATCTAGCCAATGAAAATTCATAATATCTGAAGTAATATACCCGGCGTGGGTCCCATTGGGATAAGAGACTGCTACCCCGGATCGTACGCTTTGGGATCGGGATCGGCAGTGAAATTTTTTTTTTTCCACCGAATCTGAGATCTCTACATGGATATTGACCTATTGAGTCTCTTCGGTTTTAGATGCTAAAAATATTGACTTTAAACCATCCCGGTCGATCTGTATGCATTGGCTGATGGCTTGCTTTGACATTTACCCATTTCGGCCATAATCCTTTCACTCTCGTGAGTGACAAAAGCAGAATTTTTCCATACAACTGCAATACAATATGAAGCAGACAAGTGACGAGGATAAAGAAAAATATCAGTAAGGGGATTATCCGCTGATCCAATACCAAGTTCTCTAAACTAGCATCATAAGAATTGAACGGCAGAAAGAGAGGAGAATAACTGAGTAAAACAATTGTCGATGTAGCAACTGCCTCGACCACGGCTCCAATCGTAAACACCATTGCACATGCTAAAAGCACTGGTTTTCTCCCAAATCGTTGATTCAGAAAACCTCCTAGCAGAGCTCCCAATATAGCTGTAGCAATTGCTACGCTTAAAAGGAGCTTGCCAAAATGACGGCAAATGAAACTCTTACTTTGTAAGAATCATTGCTCCAGAAACGACAGCCAAGTTATAACCTATTGCAAAACTATAGACTGCGGCGAAGACAGTGCAAATGTACACACACGCTGGGATTCGTTGTTTCTCAGTAGCGTTGCAACTTTTCAGTAATTGTCCCCGCTCGGTTTTGTCGTCAAGTAATAGTATTTGATTGTTTTTTTTGTTCCACGACGCTCCACGTTCGGTCGACTATAACAAACTCACGATCCATTTAAATAATCACATGTAAACACGTCGTATCTGTTTCGTTGATCAAAAGTCAATAATATTTTGATTTATTAATCCGTTTATTGACATTTAATTAGTAATTGACAACGTGATTTAGAGCCCATTGCGTAATCGCTTAAGGCTGACCTTTGAGTTCATGTGACATTTTTGCCGTAACACGCGCTCGAGAGCGATCAGTCCTTTTTCTACCTCGAGCTCGCTACATGAAGTGTCCTGAGAGAATTTTGCTAACCTCTTTCTTGGTACTAGAGTTTTGATTGGATTGTGCCACAGAAGTGAGTAGTGTTTTTGTAATTAGTTGGAATTTCAGTATCATCATTTCGTTTTCTAGCATGAAATTGTCAGGAATCGCTTGCTGTTAGATCGCTCAGGAATTATGTATATTTTTTGTAGATCGAATAAAAACCAATTAAAAAGGATTACACGATTCCGTGTCCAATCAATTACTCGCGGGCCATTTTCCTCAAAGAACCAGTAGTCAAATGACAAGTTTCACCTCATGATCGACGAAACCCGTCTCAAACCAACTAACTTTAGGCCCTCAGTTCTCACTTTTTCTATACAAGTTTTATCGCCGAAGAGACCCTTTTAGTTTGATAATTTGACATCAGCGTCTAGAAACTTCCCTATTTCGTGTTGCCGTCTTTAGTGCGAATAAGTAATCGTCGTCTTGAGCCGCTGGACAAAATTTGCGGTTCTTAAATTAACCGTCCGCAGCAATACTAATGACCTGAGCTTCAACTGTGAGTTAAGGATTATTAGTTGATCCAACACCAAATTCTCCAACCTATTATCATAAGAATTCTATGGCAGAAAGTAAGGAGAATTACTGATGAGATTTTTGGAGTGAATGGGTTCAAAAATATAAAGAATATTGGAATATACTTTAAAAATAAGAACAACAGGATAAGTCGCACTTTGTACCAGTGCAGTGCTCTTCTTTTTTAATTTGAGTCTAATCAAATTTTGATTTTAAGGTTACCGACCTAAGATTATGTTTTAGTTTTGCTAAATTCATCAAAAATCGATAGAATTCTCGTGATTTTGG